TGAGAGAGAGAATCCAYTTTTACAACTCAAATATCTAATATGAGGTTTTTCTGCTTTCTGTCGACGGGCCTAGATATRYAAAATCAATGGAGATATCAAATTATCACACAAGAAAATATTGAGCATTTTGTAGCAAACAAAGAAGGAGGTGAAATAACTAATAATTTTTACCAGTCTTCTTTGCAGGCTACTCCTATGACTAAAGACTTTCTTGTCTTCCTTYGTTAAAAATCATGACCAAAGAGAACTGGTGCCAAGATACAGCCCCTCCCTAAAACCCATTCATTTGAGTTGACTGCATAGGAGGCTATGTATGTACAACTACTTTATATACTAAAATGAAGCARCCAAAATGTTACATGCAGAATCTGACAAAGCAGTTACTGTATGTAGCCTCCTTTGCCCATGTCACTCTTCCATTCCACTCTTCTTTCTACTCTTGGTCTTCCTGCTTTCCTAATATGACTGAGGAAGACTGTCAACCCGCTCGGCCAAGAGGACACCAGAGGGATCCCATAAGTGCAAAATGAAGTGTTGCCTACAGTGCAGGCTAGTATATTTGCATGTACAAGTGGATAAAATAATCTGTACCTGATTAAAACATCAGATTTATACAAAAAGATTTAAGAATGCTAGTTMTTCATCATATTACAGTACCTTCTCTTCATCCTTTTTTGCTCTAGTTGTCTCTCTTTCCAGGAGCTTTTTMACTGTCTGTGCCTATTTCACACACAGAGAAAAAAAAGAGAATGTCACTTTATAAAACCTAAATGTCTACATCTCTTTGACATTTACTTAATCAAACCTTATTRTCTTCTATTTGTTTTTGCATTTGCTGTTTGCGTTTCTTGGCTCTTTGTTTTCTCTTTTTCTGTGCCTCTTCTGAATCTTCATCTTTACGTCTGGTTTCTAACCAAAACAGAATAACGATATAAWATAATGTACATGTACCTTCTTCTACTCGTACTCAGAGCTGACTTTGGAGTACTGTAAAAGTGATAGCTAAGTCAAGGTTTAACAAACCTGTTGGTAGTTCTAGCAGCTGGTTTTCACCTTCTATTTCATGTCCATGCATGGCTCTCTAAAAATTACAGTAAGAATAATTGTACCTATAAAATTGCCAGTTTCAAATATCATTCCAACTTGTTTTGCATTAAACAAGACTAGGATAACAACAAACACTTATTCATAGATCCAAAATAGCAATAATTTAAATTGACAGTTTGACATATTTGCTTGCTGTGATGAGTTACACTGTGCATTCAAATGTCAATTGGAAATGGGCCATACCTGCCTTGCAGTCATCATACTTATATCTTTTTCTTGCTTTAAGCGTCCATAATCATCAAGTTCACCTGCTTCCAGTGCATTCAGCCATTCTTCTTCTTCGTGACTGCAGCAATACATGATTGGATAATTAATAACATTGTTGACATGGTGTGTATTAGATTTTTTCTTAAGCACCATGCTATAAKTTCCCATATTACTACATGTAGTCTGTTGCTCTACATGTAGATCTGAAGAGATTATAGACAACACTAGGCACCCTCCTGGAATTKTGTGCCATGAMGTGGTTTCTTTGATGTCTCCCTAATGCAATATTTATAAAGTGCAGAGAGATGAGCTCTCCAGCTTAATGTCCAGCCTACAGTATAAGTATGTTATACAAGAGTTTTTTGTACTCACTCAGAACCACTTCCTTTCTTTTTCCCATCTTCAGTTTCACTTCCTTCTACGAAATGAAAAGTTTTAATTTTAAAATGTGTTTTACAATGTATAATGAATATGAGAAGATTCTATGAGAAGAAAATGTCTTTGAAGACATAGTTTGATTTTGTTATAGATTTTAATATCACAAGTTGCATCACCTTGCAGTGACTGCTGATAACTTTTATCAGATGTTTCAGCTATTTCTTCAATTTCATTTTCTATTTCGACGTCTTCCTCCTCACTTGTTACAACTGGTACAATTGTAGGAACCCTGTGAAATATCATACAAACAATAAAACACCATACTCAGCKATTCAAACTGTAAACTTAACACTAATTTTGACTTTGGTTACATGATAAAAGCAACTTATAAGTAACTGAGACTATAAAACAGTTTTCCTACTGTATTAACTTGATTATTAATTGTTTATTTTGATTATTTTTTAATAAAAAAATTAGGATTGAACACCTCATTAGTAGGAAAACACTGTAAGACATTGTGCTACTTACAGTTAATAATAATAACTGGAGCCACACAACACAAACCTTCTCTACCATGTGACTGATGATACACGGACAATGAGAGCCTTGCGCTGAGGGAATCCCAGGGGCTMTGAWACCCCCTTCTTTGGCAGACAAATTCTTTTTTATATGAGTCTTTGTCAGTTGCCGAATTACATGTGAATTTAATTTACTATATTGAAACTGCAGAAAAGCTGAAATTCTCCCTGATGAAACCCTTACGCATGCTCTTGACAATGAAAACAAGGTCTTATGCAATAGTTCTTACTGTTTTGTTGTCAAAGTTTGTCCTCCAAGCTTAATTTTGATTTTTAGTGATCTTTCCTCTGGTTCATGGTGCTTTTCTCTGTCTTTACTCTTTATTTTATCTTTCTTTTTCTCTTTCCGTGGCACTTCATCATCAGCTTCTCTTCTTTTCTTGTGTTTCTTATGTTTGTGCTTGTGTTTTTTCTTAGGGGAAGACACTACAACATAACTTATATAAGCTCAATAAGCTTAATACTTATCTCTATAAGTTAATTAGCTTAGCTTAAGCTTATATCATACAGTGTATTTTTAATAGTGTTTTGGGTTACCTATACAAGTTTGGGATTTTATTGCTCTGTTCCCTGATTTTGAAACGAAAACATCTAAGATAAATTATCAGCTATAAGGTTTACTTAATAGAGAAAGATGGATAAATGACTCAACTTAGGCTACAAGTAAAGAAAGAAAGTGACAGAAGCTTTGGGAGAGTTTTCATGAGGCACAAATATCGTCAAAATAAGAATAACTAAACTTACGCCTTGCTTCTTCACTGTTTGAYTCTCTGTCTTTTCGTTTGCCCATTCTGCTGTCTTTCTGGATTTCTTCTTGGCTTAGTAATCGAGATCATAGAACGACACCATTGTTTTGGGGAAAATGCTGGCAAAATGGCGACTTGGSCTCTCTCTTGTGTAAAAAGCACAGGTAGCCCATTTGATTTGAGCAACATGGTGAACGTTGTCGTATCGCATGTTCAGTACGTTTATTAATAAGCGGAATTTACAGAACTTTCTTCCGATATTTAAGAAGGTAAGACATGAATGTGCTGTTGTGCTACGGCAAGGATCGTATATGAAATGACTCTGGCTTTCTTTTCGCTGGTTTCTCGTAGGTCCTCGTATAGTCTGCGTTGTTTTGCCGCCAGATTCATGTTTGTGCGATAATCTCGAGTCGACGAGTGCTGCTATAATCGTTGCCAAAATTACGACTATAAGATACGACTAAATGTTTAAACGTTCCAAAAATTTTGRCAACGATTGTAGCATTAATGTTGAAGGTCATTACAGCAGTTTGTTCATGCAGTGTTGTCRAGTGTTGTTCATGATCATTTTGAAATTGTTGCTTTTTGATTTACTGATCCCATGATCCTATATCAAGCTTGAAGGGAAGACAAATAGAACACTGGAAACTAAAGGGAATTGATTGTTTGTTGTCATTTTGATATTGGAGAAACAAAATGAACTAGATAAAACACTATGAACCGAGTCCCTTAAAGCGCGCGCTCCGCCCTCGTCCTCCCCTCCCCCCTAATTTTCGCTCAATTCTTGCAATTATAAGGCATAAGGCAAGTCTTTTTATATTTTAATATTGATAAATTTCCTCTCAAAAACAATTCAAGTTTATTAATAACTTTAGAGTTTAGTGTCTTGCTAAGGACATAACACATAAGTACCCAGTCTAAGAATCGAAACCCACACGTAAACCATACAACCCCTCAAAAATATACGAGTATCTACTGTTTTGTCGTACATAAGTCCCYAATTCCGCTGTTCTATCTGGATTAATTGGTACCTCAATTAAGCGGCCACCCTCTGGACTTTCCAATTTGTTCGTTTGACAGTTGGCAGCTATAGAGCTAAGCCGTTGAATWGAGGGGAATAGAGTTAAATTGAGCTTGTGGCCGCCATATAGAGGATGGCTGTTTAATGGATGATTATGTAATAGAGGTACCACGGTTTTTTGTCCGTAGGGCTATAAAATTATGACTATTAGATATATAATATATACTCTCATGCTTTTTTGAATAGCTACCAGATRTTTTAGAAAAATATATATTATTTGTGCTATCGTCTTGAGTGGTCTAAAATGACATCCTCTTCGTCATCATCAGTATCGTCAGAGTAGTCATTGTTCAACAGCGCTTTTGAATTAAAAGAGTTTATTGACAAAGAATTGTCGTAGTCGTGTTGATATCCATTGCGTTTTAATGCAATACGTAGTTTTCGTTTTCTGTAGACCTTCCATAATCCACAAAAAACTAAAAGCAGCGTTACAGCCACMAGGATGACGATTCCTATCACTACGGTAACGGGTAGACCATGCCAAAGTCCCTGACTGCTGACCGCAAAGTCGACATTAACTGCGKGCGTATTTGGAATAACTTCAACAGTTTTTGTGACTTTGCCTCGTCYTGGAACTGTAACTGTGACATCGTACTTGCCTGGCACTAGTATACGGAAGTAGTCGCCTTGTTGACCGGAAGTGACGTCGTGTTGTCTTCCTTTGATRGATATAACAGCATCTTTCATTGGTTTTCCCTCATCGTCTCGTATAATTCCCTTCACACCATGGTGTGCCTGGAAACAAATGACATAAAATCCATCATACCATTATAAAAGACCAAGTTTTCTCATAAAACCATCGAAAGACTGACAGACAAAATAGACAACAAGATGGGATCCAGGGGAGGGGGGTAAGGAGGATGGCTATCTACCCCCACCCCCCTTTTAGAGATCAAAAATACAGTAATAAAAGGAAAAAGTATATGAATGGAACCCATTCTGAAAGACCTATAAAACATCTGAAAGAGATCTTAATTTTCCGCACCCCTAAATCTTTTTATTCAATATTTTCTTCTTGARTTAGTCATCCCGATTTGTAATGTCCTCGAATYGCCACTGATAGTCAGATTGTAAGAGTGATTACCTGAAAAGCAAATTGCACGAGAGCCATCTTGTTCTCTTTCCAAAGATGCTCCAGTTCACCAGCATACGGGTACTTACAGCAGCCAACATGCACATCAATACCCAGACAGTTTGTACTTTTATAGGCATAATCGCTCAGTCCACCACTAAAGGTTTTTCGAGCTGCCCCATTAACGATTCCATGTAAAAACTCTTCATGCACATTRGGGCCTGGGCAAGAGGGTTTCCCATGATGCATAGTGGGATGTAAATTGGCATAGGAGGTTGCTAGGTAGCGGAAAACATCATCATCTGGTGCAAGATTTGGTGATGTTTTACCCTTAGGTTGKGCATAGTAAGGATAACTAGCGTGGAGACTGCCGCCATGAAGGTTGATTGACAGTACAAATGGATGATCATTTAACCATTTCACAATAGCTTGAGTTTCTGGTTCTAAGGTTTTAATTTTCTCCTGATATATGCCTGAAAACAATGAAAATACACACATTACATTGATGGAATAAACAGCCCAACAGTAGGTTAACATGTTTTCACATATGTTTGACTTGTCTTCTTTGTAAGATGGAAAGAACATCAGCGTAAAAGTAATCGTAATAGCAATGTGTTTTTTATCCCTATTATACCTGGGAAATCAGTGKCCAAGTTCACGTCTTTAGCATTATTCCTTCCATTCTCTGAATAACAATCTCCCTGTTCAGCCTTGAGTGCACCATCAGGATTGACCAAAGGAAGTATGTGTAATCGTGTGSTATCCACTAACTTCGTAACCACATCGTCTTTACCGTAACTAAGGCACAAATGCTGGATGAACATCAACAACATTTCCTTGCCAACAGCTTCGTTGCCATGAATACCTGCTGAATACATGACCTCGGGTTCTCCAGGCTCGTGCTTGCCAGGGTTATCTGTTAACTCCATAACCCAAAGTCGGCGTATCTGCGAGGACATACCAATGTGATACACACGTGATATTTGTGGACATTTCTTAGCCATGCCCTTCATCCATCCACCAATGGAGTCGTCTTTATGATACTGGAACTTGGGTATCCTGTGTAAGTTAAAKATCACTTGTGTTGTCTTCCCTGYGGTTATCTCTATTTCCTTGGTGCTGCTAGAATACCCAGACGCGTAAGCTGTCAGTTTGTACTTGCCTGGCGCAAGAACTTTATAAAACTTAGCATTTGATTGGTCGACATCGATGTGCATTGCAGAGTTYGATATGGTAACTGAAGCATTGGCGATAGGAGTGTGGTTGAATGTGTGAATCACACCTTGCACTGCTTGCTGGACTTTCTCAACAAATTCTAACAGTGGCAAGCTGTTCTCCTTGAGTACATTGCGGGCATTAYTCCCCGATGGATATTTACAGCAAGAAATAAAGAATGACAACTGAAGTGCGTTAAGCTTTGTATATGCATAGTCTTGCATAGTGTAACGAAGGTCTTTCCACTTAGAGCCTTGTACAGTCCCTCCAGGGAAATTGGATCCATTACATCCATGACCAAGGTGCATTGTGGGATGGCGCTTGGCATATGTGGATGCTAAGTCTTGAAATGTTGACTGGTCTGCTGTAGACGARCCCTGAATACGTTCATCTCCCGTCACTTCAGTACTTAATGGATATCTATGACAGACATAACATAATCACTTTGAATTATACTACTGAGTTTTGCTAGAAGCTGTTACGGTCAGTTAAAGCAGAAGCAGACTTAAACATATGGGAAATTTTAGGTGTAAATCATGTAGAAACAAAACAAAATTGAAACTTTTTTACTTTCTTATGATTCTGCATCTGCCTATGTTGAAATATTATGAGTATGAAATGGYACAACATAAGCATAAGCTCTTGCTTATATTGAGTATATACCAGCCTCTGATTCTGCTTATGTTGTGGTATGAACCTGTGTGTGACATTCTTTGCAAGTACTGGTCTTTCTACATAGATGTAATAATTATCATGTGCAATGCTCCTATTRCAAACTTAGGTTTTAAAAGCATAAAACATTACAACAATGCAAGAAAAAGTTTCTGCAATTTACCTTGCAACCAGTCCTCCACCATTAATATCAGCAATAAGTGCAAATTTGTTCATTTTCATCCATACTTTTACATTTTCCACTTCCTTGGGCTCCTCTGTTGATGTGTCAAAAAACTGGAGATTGAAAAGAAAAGATAGAAAAGAAAGTGAGAATCTTTTTAATGAACAAAACATAAATGGCTAAATACTCTTAGATCCAAACCTATGGATCACTTGAGTTTTCTTGGGTGTGTCAAAAGATCCTTATAAGCAAATATATAATTATAAGACTTTGTTAAGAATCAAACTTAACTTACTGACAACATCTTGTYKGACAAAGATCGCTTTTGCTTAGCATTAGCATCAAAAGAGAAAGCTCTTGCCAAGTCATCTTGAGGACTGACAGTTCCCTGACAGTCCCCTTCCTTTGCTAAGCTCCTACTGTCAACATCAACCATTGGTATGACCTGCACTTTTGTGTTTGTCAAAATATTAACGATCCTTGCATTGTTTCTAGTGAATCCTATGCAAAGATACTCTAGAAAAGTCAGCAGCAACTCGCTTCCAATGGCATCTTTGCCTTGTAAGCTGGCGACCAAACCGACACTAGGTTTTCTGTCATTACCATTCTTGCTTGACAGCTGCAAGGACCAGATTGGTTTACCTTTCTTTGATTTGCCAATTGATGACAGTTTTGCAATACTTGGACATTTGTTGGCTAAGTTTTTCAGTAATGTGATAACAGAGTCGTAATTGCGATATATGTATGGTTTTACAGTTGTTGGAGGAACTAAACAAAAAGGAAAAAAAAAGATTTAATTAACAGAATAATGATGGTGAAATAAAATAATTATAGTGACTTGATTCACACTGTGGGATTCCTGTGGCCACAGATATCACAGGAAGTCTTAACTATCAACAAAGACATACCTGTTGAAGGAGTTGGTGAAGTAAAGGTCATCTCCATAGTGATATTTAATAATGATGGYGARGGAGTTGGTCTTGTAGTAGTTGCAACCATTTCATTRTTTCTGAGCAAAGTAAAAGTCAGCTCACTTGCAAAGCCACTCTTAACTTCCACCTTCTTAGTCTGAGACTGGTATCCATTGGCAGAAGCRGTGACATTATAGTCTCCAGGTGAGATAAGCCTCCAGAAGTCCCCATCTTTGGCTGTAGTAATGACRTGTGCTATTCCTGATACAGTGATGACAGCACCAGATATTCCTATACCAGCAGTATTAGTAACAAACCCTTTAATGCCAATGTGGACTTGAGACAAGAACGTTAGCATCGATAMCTTGTGGTCATTCCATAAAGACTGAAGTTCAGCTTGATAGGGATATTTGACACAGCCCATTTCAACRGTGATCTCAAAGCAATTGCTATGAAGATAATTATAATCCTGCATTCCTCCAATCACATTGTACCATTTTGCACCATTGGTTATACCATTCTTAAAATGATCACCACACTGMGTYCGGCCTTTATACATAGTTGGGTGTGCTTTAGAGTATGTTAAAGCAAGAAGCCTAAAAACTTCATCATCAGGACTTTTACTGTAAATCTCCTGCCTGGATGGAGAGTCATCAAAGGGATAGTTTGCAACCAAGGAACCACCATGCAAATTGGCAGATAATACAAATGGATATTGTGTTAACCACTTCATTATTGCTTTAGTTTCTGGCTCACGCTTGGGGTGCAAATCAAACAGTGCATCAGGAAAGTTTCTGTTCAAGTCAACATGATGTGCATTTTCTCTTCCTCTTAATGATTCTCTATCTCCCTCAATGGAGACTTCATGGCCATCAGGGTTCATAGAAGGCAGAATATGTATACGAGTATAATCCACCAATGCAGTAATTCCACTTATCTTTTGATAATTCTCACATAARACTTGAATCAGTAAGAGTAACAACTCTCTGCCTAAAACTTCATTACCATGCATATTCCCTACATATTTGAATTCAGGCTCACCCGGTTCATGGATTCCTGGATTGTCAGAAATTTCCATGGCCCATAAATCTCTTCCTAATACCGACTTCCCAATTGAGTAAAGTCTTGTTATATTTTTATATAACTTTGCCATAGTCTTTAAAAATACAGTCATCTGATCATGGTTATGGTGTAAGAATATCCTGGGTTCAACCCAGTCTTTCATCAGTTCTCTATATTCTTCAGCAGTCATAGGGATGAAAGAAAATGGAACTTGAGGTRCTTCTAGATCAGTACTCCTTCGACTCCTTTGAGATTTCTGATTCCAAGACATAATATCCCTCAGCCASGGAAGTGTGTTACTAAGSCTTGTTTGYTGGTAWGGCACYTGTGGATAATTCATYCTAAGAAGCTGAAAATTTATGACTGTTGCTGGTCCACTAGTGACAACAACATGAGGTATAACAGCTGGTATATAGCCTAGTGCTACRGCCATTACTGAATAGTTACCAGGGATAAGTAACCGCCAAAAGTCACCATATTGAGCTGTTGTAATGTTATGTTTTAAGCCAAAGACATGTATAACAGCTCCTCTGATGCCATAACCATTGGCGTCTTTCACAAAACCTTTGATACCTTTGTGCACTTCTTCCATGTACGCTAACAAAGCTTCCTTATTTTTCTGCCATTCTTTTTGTAGTTTTGATGCCCTTGGGTACTTACAGCATGATAACTCCAAGGTAATCTCAAAGCAGTTGCTAATGAGATAGTTAACATCTTGCATTCCGCCAGGAACATTATACCAGAATGCCCCATTTGTGATGCCATCCTTAAAATTTAAGTCCTTKGGACATTCTGGGTCCCCTTTRCTCATTGTATGATGTTTCTTTGAGTATGTAAGGGCTAAGTGCTTGAACACAGCATCGTCAGGTGTTCTACTGTAAACGTCTTGTGGTATATGCCCTTCATTGCTATCAAATGGGTAGCTTGCTACTACAGCACCACCGTGTAGATTGGCCGAAAGTACAAAATTATTACTATATATCCACTTTATCATTGCTCTTGTTTCAGGCTCCGCTTTGTTGGCTTGATAAAGTTTCCAGTTATAAAATTGATCAGGGAAATTACGGTTTAAATCTTTATTATTATAATTATTTCTTCCCTGGACACCATTACAGTCTCCTTCTGATGAAGCTTCAAACCCGTCAGGATTTAGCGATGGAAGAATGAATATATTTGTCGTGTCAACAAGTCTTGTGATTCGCTCCCGACCCGGCTTACCATAATGTTCTAACAAATACTGAATTARATTGATCAAAATTTGCCGTCCAACGGCCTCATTGCCATGCATATTTCCAACATACTTAAACATTGGTTCWCCAGGCTCGATRATATCTGGGTTATCAGTTATTTGCATCACCCATAGACTACGATTTTGTACAGAGTTCCCGATAGTTCTCAATCTTGCTATATTGTTGTACCTTTTCGCAAAGCGTTGTAAAAAGTSTGTTAATTCATCATAATTTGTATATTTTGGCGATTTGAAGACACGGCTTTCCCAGTCAGGATCTTTTTTGTAAACTTTTTCATCTGTTTGTAAAACGTATGTAGCTAAGAAGATGAAAATACAGAGCATCAAACAACTGACCCAGTACGCCATTTTGTCTTGTATCATTGGCATAATTTACCTGTAAWAATAAGCTTGGGGCCTATTGTTTGTTGACCAATCAAAATGAGCAAWAGATAAAATTTCTACTTGACCATTTAGCAGCCGCTCACGCCTTCGACCAATCAAAAAACAAAACGATGACTTCCGGTTAAATTTGCTCTGACCTCAAAGAGTTGAGATCAKGCTACAAATCCGATAATCCTATATTTTCCTGTGATTATTTCCCGGTCTAAGACATAATCAGAWATGATGTTCTTCATTATCCACCCAAAATGCAATCACTTTAGTATTTAGGTATAATGCCACAAACACAATGTTTGCTCAGCTTGGGACGAATAGGTGGCAGACTATTTTTAACGAGCTATGCACAAATTAAACGACTAAACGCTTCCTAATTGCCCTTTTCTTTTCTCCGGCTTAAGTCGTTATTGAATAATTTTCAAATGATGAGTTCCTGTCGACGTATATTGYGGTACGCTTTTAGAGCGCTTATCCGGGTGATGTTACAAACTCCCAATAACCGGATGACCCTGACTAACCACACACAAGATCTCAGGGAAAACTATATAGAATTCTTTCGTTTCCAGGGAACCCCGTCCTTAATTTTTTTTGTGTAAGAGCCTTCAAGCAGTGCTTTCGTAAAAGGACTATTGTTTGTTTATAAACTCTTATTTGATTTTAATTAAATTTGCAGGAGGTTTCGTGTTGGGATGACAATCCTTTCCGATAGCAAGCATGATCGGGGGTAAATTTAAAAAGAGATCGGAAGGTTTTGAATAATAATAAAATTTAACTAAAGTGTATATAATTATATTTCGGTGCTAAGCTTGGCTGCTGTGAGATCCTTTACTTTTTTTTATTTCACCTATTTTTAGTATTCTCCAAGCCAAGTACAGACTAATGAAAAGAAAAGAAATCATAAAAAGCTTGAAGGACACTTAGAGAGACGCCTAGCTGTCTAAGGAGACAGGTAATTAAGACTCATTGGATACAACCCACAACCTATATATATTACTCCGGTTTATGTATCGTTTACGAATACCGATTTTCAAATAGTAACGAGTTTAGCACTTCATATTTTAGAATTGCAGCTAGGAAGAGTCATAATAAAAACTGAATAAAAATAATTTTAACTAGCTTAAGATTTTAGTGAAAACGCAGAYGTTTCGGTCAAAACTGTGACCTTCCTCAGTGCGTTGTAATAAGTTYAGCACTCCATTTGGATACTTTCTAGAAGTCCATTCCAATACACAGTGCAGCTAAACGCACCACGAAACTCAAATGATAAATACATCAAACTAGTGKTGGTGGAGGTGTTTCTGTATTTTATGACTTTTTGAGTGCTAGCTATCGGTTTTCGGATTATCAGCTTAGTTGAAAAATCCATGTATAACGCCGTCCGTTGTTTTTTGCACTATTTTGATCAGTTTTAATCTGCGGTCCTTACTTTCGATTCTTTATCTCAAAAAAGAATTCGAAAACCTGTCTTGATCGCTTATMATCTTAGCTTTGTGACGCTTGCACTATATTTTATTGTGATAGATTTATTTGCCAAACTTACTATTTGCTTTTTTATAGTATGTAGTAGACTTTCACCAAAGTCTTTTTTAGCCCCCTGGCACAATGTTTTTTTTTTTGAAATTTCTCGCTCATCTTTTTTCTAATTCGATTTTTGAAAATTCTTTTATTTTTGTGAGTTCAAAGAGAGTCTACCTACTAACTTTGAGCGACTTTGTACGATTTTAAGTGAAAAAAATATCGCTAAAGCCACCCAAAACTTCAAAGCGATTTTGAGCCACCTTTTGGTTCCGGCGAAGCCCTAAAAACAGCAACACAATATTTCCTTTATAATTTCTATTTTTTCTAAATTTATACAATTAAGTGTTTTTTCTATCTGGATGAGGAATGGCATTTCTCTGAATGCCTTGAAGCTTCTCATTATAAAGTCTAGATTCATTGCTAGAAAATTCTTCAACTGCTCTAATGATGGGATCATTTGTTAAAGCTGAAGTAAGTGCATGCTTGGCTTTCTTCGGTAGGGTTTCGGCATATGGAGACATTTGATTTGGGACAAAGCTCGCATATGATGCTGGGGACTGCATTGGGTAGCCCATGTACGGACTTGAATACCTGTCGGCTGAAAAAGTKGAGTATTCCTTAGGATTAGTGGCGTATTGTTGGGCCAGATTCATATCAAACTGTTCACCTAACTCWTCRTTGGGTTTATACGGTTTGTAATAAGCTTTATATCCCTGCCCAGGCTCACTAGYCGCATCTTCAACCGGGCGATCATTATAGTAGCCGTTGTTCTTGGGTGGGAAATTTAGATTTGGTTTTCCGAGATCACGATAAACACTATCATTGTCTTTGCTGTCTTCTTTTTCACGATTTTCAGTGTAATCATGTTTGTTTTCATTCTTGTTTTTTTCTAAATCTTTTGAAATGCTTCCTCGCAGAGCTTTCAGCAAGCGTTTTACCCCAGATACTAACTTCTTCAGCTTATTTCCTGACCGACTCGTAGGCACAGTGCCAACGCTTGATTTTGTCGTGGGTATCATATTGATGGCGGCCAGTGCTGCTTGACTGACAGGTTTCATAACAGGTTTTCCCTCTTCTGCAATTCTTCCTCCTGCGTACAATATCACTGGTTCTTTAGAAACAGCTTTGTGTCCTTGGTCGACGGTGTCAATTATCTTTCCAGAGGTTGTAGCTCCTGAAAAGTGRATCAAATGTGCTTTTGATTTGTGTAATGAGAATACTGCTGGTTTTGAGTTCCTTGAGCTTGCTACAGATGATGATTGTTTACTTTCCGCTTCATCYTTGGTACCGTCCTTGATCATTTCTTTGAGGTCACGCACCAGACCGTCAATGCTTTGAGTTCTCGACGTATATTCTTTGATAGGCTGKTCTTCATCACTCGTCGGTTGCACTGRCTTCGCCTTGCTTTCCTGAAGGAGACTATTTGGAASTGCTTCCTCGTCTTCTTCAGRCTCAACCTCTCGATCACTTGGCAAGGAATTCATGTCCTCCGAATCATTGACTTCGTTCGCCTTGGCGTTGCTTACGCCATTATCCTTACTCCAGTTTGACTGCGAGTCAGCTAATTGTTCTTCAAGCATATCAAGCAACTCGCCATCAAGTGCCTTCACCTTCCTTGGCTCCTTAGGGTTGACTTGGTCGTGCTTTGCTCCAATAGTGAAGTCTTCTTGTTCAAATGTGATGGGTATTCTGCGGTGTTTCTTTTTCCTTCGACGATGATTCCTCTTTTTTGTTTTGTCCAAATATCCTTGAACAACAATGCTCAGTAACTTCACAGTATTCTCGTCTAGTTTYCCAACAGTTTTAACCTTTTCGTCACCCAGTTTTGTTCCATTTACTACTGTAACATTCAATGAGGGCGCCTTGTCCTGGGACTTATCGGCATTATCGAGAAGTTTGATACTTATCGATGGGGYCTTGGAAGTTGGTTTTAGGTTATTCAATAGTGTCTTTATGTCCTTACCGTGGTACAGTTTCTCGGCTTTTTCCTTTTCTTTGATGATTTCACTGTTGATTCGTCCACCGAGTTTTACGTCCTGTTGCAAGTCATGGTAAGTAGTGATGGGTTTGAGGGAAATGTAATAGCTTGCATTACCCTGTCGATTTGTTGCATTTACAATCGAGTTGACAGCTTTGGAGGCAGTTGCTGAAGGAAGCTTGGTGAGTTTTTGAGCCAAGCTATCAACTTGCCTAGTATTCTTTTGAGAATCGGTTTGAACTGGTTTTGGGACKGGTTCTTGAGAGGCGGTGCTTCCTGTGTTTATTGCCTGTACTTGGTTCTTWRCAATTGTGTTTTGAATAGAGACTGTTGTTGATGACCGACTTGATGGTGTTTGGGCAGTTTTGCCTTTTCCATTAGAATCTTTTGTTGTGACTATGCTAATGATTGGCTCCTGTGTGTCAACTTCAAAGCCATATGTACCCTTCGTTTTATTTTCTTCTTTCTTTGCTTTGTCATCAGCGAATTCCATTTTGAAATTTCCGCTTTGTAGTTGCTGGAAAAGACTCTCGGTTGGTGTACCTTTTAAAGCTTTTAACTTTCCACTCTTCTCTGCTCTTTTGATGAATTCGTTGAAAGTATCTTCAATATCTTTTATTTCTTTATCCATTTGCTGCTTCTCTTTTACTTCTAAGACGTTATCTCTCGTCGTCCCGGAGATGTCTTCCACAGCCTTTGCTTTTAATTTCAACGCTTCCTGGCGACTCATTTCTTCAGTTGTCTCAATTGCTCTATTAATTTTATCTTGTAAATATTTCACGTCCTTTTGATTGACATCCTCTGATACCTCTAACGTACCAACATCAAAATGAGGACCAGAAACTTGTTTCTCGGCATTATCCAGTTTAGAAGTAATAAGTTTTAAAGCATCGCTGATCGCCTGTAAAGCAGATATCTTCTCTTTTAGTACAATTATCTGGTTTCCCTGTACTTTACTTGTAGATGGTGTTGGTTGCTCATCAGGCTGATCTTGTTCAGGTTTTAAGAACTTTTCGTATAACAAATTACCCATGATTTTGCCTCCTAGCTTAGCTGTTGGATCGAAGTCTTTAATAGGTAGTTTGGTTGGGCTTGCAGGCTTAGCTTGTGGAGTGGGAGTAACAGGTATCACTTGTGTTACATTCTGAGAGCCAGTATTTCCTTTCGCCTTCTTTTGTTTTTCTCTTTCGATAAACTCTTTGATTATTTGAATAGCATCGGGTGAACGGGCCAATTGACGAAGTTCTTCTTCGCTCAAACTTAGATGAAGCTCACTACTGACGTTTTTTGCTGCCTCATCTTTATTAAATGAGCCGTGCATTGAAGCACTTGCTTCGTTGATCCCTTTGAAAGCCTTACTCCCCACTTTCATAATTTCTTTACTGCGCAATATTTTTTTCAACATCGCAATGTCTTGTTGTAGATCTACCTGGGAATTGTCTTGAGGGACTGAAATTTTCTCCTTAGGGGGTGGTGAAGGAGTTGCATCATGCGGGAGGGTTATTTCTTGTATTTCTTTCTCATTGCTCGGCTTTTGACTATTCATGTATTCCTCAAGTAGGGTGTCAATTGATGCTTTACTTGTCGGTACTTCATAGGACGAAGAGCCCGATTTTGTAGTCAACATGATGGTTGGTACATGAGGCAATAATGGACGGTAAGATTTCGGTTTGTTATTTTCAGTGGTGAGTCTGGAACTGCTAAATGTTGGCACTGTGACTTCTGAAATTATAAGACACATTGTGAGTAAAGCCGAACTAAGTTTGSTATGAAACGTGGGAACATGGATCTTTGAGCCCTGCGTATTCTTTTCACCTATAATACCATATATGGCAATTCTTCTCACCTATAATACCATATACGGCAATTCTTCTCACCTGTAATACCATATTTGGAAATAGCAGCGTGTTTTCAAGATTGCATATGGCAGATTAATATGGCAATATTGTTGATGTTACTGAAAAGATTTTGCAGCTTTACCTTGAACAGGGACGTTTGGCTGACATCTATATTGAATTATGGCATATTTATCAACATCTGGGCAATGGTCGGTCCCGCTAGCCATGTGAGCAGCGTCGGCACGTACAACACAATTTCCGTTTCCTTGACAAAGCCGTTGTACTGTACTCAGTGTGGTGTTCAAGCTTCTACACTTGCCAATCCTTGACGGATGCCCTTGCGTGGCCACACAAGTGGTGGGCGAGGCTCTTCCCCAAAAAGCGTTTATCAAGTTAAGCTTCCAGTTTTCTCGACACCGTAAGTTTGTGGTTTCTCCATCACAAAGAACAAGTTTGTGTTCAATAGGCACACACGTGTAGTTGACTATTAGGTACTTATTCACACCCGGACAGTGGACACTACCGGGGTTTTGTAATACCGTATGTCTAGCGGGGATTTCACAATATACTTTGTCATCACAGAGTTTGCGCAGAAGCGGAGTTGTTGCTTCATCATTACCACAGCTTGTGTTTGGATCGCCATCTTCTGACGGGCAGATTTTGTCTGAAAGTCGACCCCAGAATGTATCCATTATAGCGATGGTGGACCCTGGAGACAGGCATTCTAACGACTTGTTTTGACCAGCACAAAATACAACTTGCTTTTCTGTGAAAGAAAGACCAAAATAATCAAAAGTTTTACACTAGGCATGTTCAAGGACAAAAAGTATTGCCACCCAAAATGATGGCCGCGTTTTCAAGTTATACATTGGTTAAGATATATTAATGCTTATACAATTCATAAACCATAAAAAAACTCATGTGTATTATATGTAATTATAACATATTGATAGAACTATGATTACCATTGTTTAGGCCTCGAAGKTCCAGCTAACCTCCTTTTTAAACTACACATTTAGGCGTCGGTCGGAATGAGCAGCCCTCTCAAACTGCACAACAGTCTTCGAGYTCAAATTAGGCATATTGTATGAAACGTGATCGTAGATAAATTAACAGCCTTCAAAAGGTCTTTAATAACTTCACACTTGCGAACTTGAAAAGTGAAAACAAACTGACAAACTAGACAGCTTAAGTACATTTACCTGTGGATAGGTCAATTTCACTCCGTGGTCGTATTCCTATAAAAAAAAGTTTTTAAATGAATTTAAATTGGTAAACATTTAATAATACAACCGAATTTCGAGGCTTACACTATGTATTTTAGCAATGTATAGCGGAACTTTAGGCTTATTCGAAATSTTTGCATCAACTTAGCGCAAAACTAGAGATTGATTATATACAGTATAATGTTGACTGTTTAGAAATAAAAATTACTAAAAGACTAAGATGACAAATTTCTAAGAAATATCGAGCTGCAACCTCGGTCTAAAGATGAATACATAATGTTAAAGTATATTTTAAGCAATGCCCTAAAACGCGAAAAGAGAATATTAGTAATAGATTAATAGTTTAATGATATAAGCAGGATCACTTTTCATTATACATGTCAAAATACTGTTAATATTTTGGCTGGCTATGATATTGTTTGGTGTAAACTTGCCTTTTGTTGGTATAAACGATCCAAGCAAGTACGATGATCTCAAAAGGACCAACAACAACCAACAGACTCGCGTCATTTTGCATCACTTTCCTGGAAACATCACATTGTTTTACGTTTGTAGTTTGATCACATTCATCGTGTTTTGTTTTSAAACTAATTTCACTAAATTAAAATCGAGTCACGATGAAGTTGACTGTATTATTGCTTTATTTTGTTGATCTCTAGCAGCAGGTCTTTCCACACTTGATTTACTCGTGAATTATTCATTGTTCACAGAAAACGAACCATCAAATCAGTCGGTTATGGAAAGTAATCTTGTTGACATTAGATTGACATATCATATATCATTTCAAATATAATTGATTTTTTAAAGTAAACTGTGGTTATAAGGAATCCATTTAAAATKGTATTGGCAATAATTCACGATATATCGTGAGATGCTATTGGCTATAAATTGATGTGTGCCATACTGTACGTTTGTTGCACCACGCATGCGTACTTTTATCAACCAAACACTGACTTTGGTCGATTCCATGTAGGTGGAGGGGGTGGGAAGGGGAGGGGAAAMACTCAGACAGCGTAATCCGTATGCTGTATAGCTAGAGCAGTTTTAAAAAACGTGTTGAAAGATCCGCGCAGGCGCGTAATAAATATTGCCGTTCAATGCCGAATGTCGAAACATATGTTGAAAGAGTTTYCCGCTCAGTGACCGGGCTTAAGATCAACGAGTCAACGTAGTATTTTGAAATTCTTAGTTTTCTTCGRGTCTAAGATTGACCTATGCCTCTAAGATTGACCTATGCCGACTGCCACAACAGGGGCATTTGATTGGTTGTAGTTCTAGTCACATGATGTTAGCAAAGTGAAACTTGTATAAGTCTTTAAATCATCGACTACTAAAATAGCTAAAAATAACCTTTAATAAATCAAAGCATTTCTGCAATCATTCAGAGTATATACCTGTTTCAAAAAAGGTTGTTGGGTAAAATGGCGAATGTCGTCGAAAGGCGATTGCACGACCGAAAGCAGTCATGGGTTTTGCAAATTGATGAGAAATAACTGATTCATACTGTAAGATGGTCTGTGGTAAACATTGACTCCATTTAGTCACCATTTCTATGTAAGGTGAATCCAATAAGTGAAATTTTGTTGTGTCAAAACAGTCTAACCATAGTCCCTTTCGGTCGTACAATCTCCCTTCGACAATCGCCGTTCGCCCCGACCATATGATGTTATTATGGAGTTTAGTCGAGTAAAATACATAGCAAAAGAAACAATAGACACGTCAATTACAAATGGAACCTAATTTATTTTATCATTTTTCTAACAACAACAACAACAACAGCTTTAAAATCTATATTCATTCTAGTTCTCGCAGTTTGTATGTAATTACGACAATACAAATCTTTAGAAAAGAGGTTTATACAATAGTAGTTCTTGTAGCATCATTTCGTCTTTTGATTCTACCTCGGCACATGCCCGTGCTTGCGCCACATCTCAAGTATGTAAGTATGCATGTTTTGACATGGATAGAATTCCAGTTCTGTGAATCTTCGATCAATCTATGTTTAACCTCAAGTATGGCCACAAGATATAAAAACAATTTATAATCCAAAATATTGTTTGGTACTTCTGATTTTAAAATAAAAACGGAAGAAATTATAGTTTGTTTTTGAGATTCAAATCCGGAAGCAATTTGTACATTTCTCACATYATTCTAATCACTCAAGAAGGGACTAMAAAATARTACAAAACCAACGCCGGCTGATATGGGACCTATGGTTCGTTSCCAGTGCCTGCATTGCCGATTCCAAGACCTCCGCTCACATCTGGCAATCTCTGTAAGTTAATCTTTCGTTGGTCGCTGTTTTGTGCTGAGGWTTTGGGTTTTTCTTTGRCAGGTTTGGGTTTGTTTTGATTATTGTTAGATCTTAGAATTGATTTCAGTGTTACGGGTTTGCTGTCGTGTATCTTGGATATTGTATTTTGGACTTTTTGTTTGAGGATCTTGGATGTTTCAACGGTTGCTTTATCGCCAGACACCTTYGGGATTACGACACTCTTTGRGCTCTTTTGGGGCTCAGACGTTCTCGGTATGGATGCTTTGCGCGTACCAGTGTTTGGCTGTTTGCTTTTAATATTTCTTATTCCTTCTATGATCATTCTTTCAATAGTCTGSGCCTGTTCATCTGTGAGTCCGTTCTCTACTGCAGACTCGTCTCCTCCTTGTGATTCAGCAGATGCTTTGATCAAATTGTTTATTTTCTCTAGCGCCTTCAAGCCACCCATGCCCAGTCTCCCGATGTTTAAGTCTTCTTTTGGCTCCGCTGGAGCCTGGGGTGAGTCTTTTTGTTCTCCGTCGAGCTGTTTGAGAGCACTYTCTACGCTTTCACTGCTCTTTGAAGTTTGATCATCGCTTCTTTCGTGAGGATCTTCTTGAGTGTATTGTTTGACTTCGCTTTCYTCTTCGGTTCCTACAACGATAACGACGTTAATTTACCTTTTTTACTCTTTGGAAATTTTTGCACTCCACTGAGATAGCATTGGGGAATCGGTGAAACAAGGATGATATCTTACGAAGAACTACTCAAAACATTAATAAGTAGTCTCCTTCACAGTTACCTGCGCCATCTTGAAAGGTAGCCGTGCCTTTACATTGAAGCGAGACAATAACAATAAGCGAGATAATTGTCTGTAGGTGTGAAAGAAGGTTTCTATCATTGCACGCTCAACGGCTGTCTCGCTTCAATGCAAAGGCAAGCTAGCTACCTTTCAAGATGGCGTAGGTAACCGTGAAGGAGACTATTTGTTCTAAAATTCATTCAATTTCTAATTCAAATTCGTCTCTACAGCCATCAGCMTACTTACGTATATTTGGATGTGGTCTGCAACTGTAGTTGATTATTAGATACTTKGAAATATGAGGACAATTTTCCGCACCATTTTGAACTTGATCGTAAGATGCGTGAATGTCACATCTAGGTAATCCATCACATGACTTCCTCACGATCTCAAGGCTTTCGGGTGCACCGGTGCAWGTCGTAAGMCCACTATCCGATGGGCAAACACTGGTWGACTGCCGTCCCCAGAACACCGAGTTGACTCCAATYTTCCAAGAGGCCGGACAATTGAGTGTGGAGTTCTCCGAGTCACAGAGAACAACTTCTTTRGCATCAGGAACACAAGTATAGTTGACTGTAAGGTACTTGTTGACACCAGGGCAATGGCTTGTTTTKGGGTTTTGTAACACTGCATGTCTTGCTTCTAATTCGCATGATTCTTTGCCTTCGCACTTTGCTTTGACGATTCCCTCGGTTTCCGGAGCCGTGTCGCAGTTCAATATGACATCACCATCGTCAGATGGGCATATGCTTGCAGAACGTCGTCCCCAGAATACATTTGTGATGGCGATATCGGAGCCTGGGTACGAGCAACTTAATGGCTTCGTTTGCTTGGTGCAGACGGTGACCTCTTTAACTGCAAATGAACGATAGATAGTGTTGTAAGCTGTGAAATCGCTTTGGAATTGGTTTGTCAAAACATTTGGAACTCGCTTATATGAACGAGATAACCACTTCAATTCATTGAAAAAAAACTCCTCTGAATTTGAATCCCTTTCTAGCACAACCAGCACACGTGCTATACCAGGAACAAGCGTACTATGTGAATGTTATCGCAYTGCTTGTTGTTGGTTTTTCGTTGTTCTGTTTATTATTTTTAGCTTTGTGTCTACTGTATGTTTTTGGTAAACAAATAGAATTTTTCAGTAGTATTTTTTCGATAACAAGCATGAATTTAAAGCCTTTCTTTTCTACTTACACGCTTCCAGGTCAATTTGGCTGAGTCCCGTACCACCGTCACTACTAGGRATGTTACCTATAAAAGAACCATTAGGAAAAATAAGATGACCGGATATGATCAGTGTACGTCGTAGATAGTTCTTCTAATAGAATAATAAATATACAGCTRTACTCGTCGTCTCGAAGCGTTTTTCACATAGAAACTAAATCCTATAAGCATTGCCGAGGCTTTTTGAAGACAAAAACTACTATGAAGCGCAAAGTTTGGACAGGGCGTGTGTTGTTGCTTCAGTTGTTATATATCAAAACAAAAATCAAGCTAAATCTAATAGAAACTTGACGCTCAGTTAACTGGCGCTGCTAAAGCACGTTTTAGTAAGTAAACTTGTGGTCTCTCATGAGTCAGTTGATCAAAAAACCGATATCAATAAACTAACAATAACTAATTCTTTATCATTATATTTTGGTTATAACAAAAAACACCAATATAATATATCAATTAAGGAAAAGATATCAAAACATCCTTCATTGTTTAGCAATTGTTAACAGTGAATACTGCTCAGTGRTTTTGACTAAACATAGCGCCTTYTCAGTAAGCAATCAATACAATCATCCTACCTTGACTGAATACTAACTGAACCAGCAAAAGGCATAGATAAACAGCAACAGCTGACTTCATCCTTGCTGATTGATTGTTTCTTTGGGAATCTAAGTAAAGAAGTTGAAATATTCAATTGCACCAGCCCCGTCTGTTTTTTTGTTGATCTGGTAGTCTTTTGTTGCTGAACGGGTACCTTAAGAACTCCACGTCGAACAATAGATTGACACAACCACTGTCAGATTAGGTCAGCGGTTTTACACTTTATTCACAAAATGGCGGCCTGGAAAAATTGAAATGCTCGRTSAGATGTTAATATTTTTACATGTGTGACGAAGAAAACAAAATTAATAGATTTGTGCTTCAAGTTTGTATTCTGATGTTTAAAATACAATCTCGAAGGTTAGGTGTTAGTTGTGTTACTTAATTGTAAATATTATGATGTTTTTGTTCCTGYAGACTGTATGAATTCATATGTAATTAAGGTATCTAGGTCTCCATGGTCTTCTCTCGTTTCTCCTGACAAAAGTTGTAAGTTGCGTTTTAATCGTTAGGTCTTATTAAATTAGTTGCAGTTCGTCCACWATCAAAGACAATTCTAACATGGAAGACACAACAATCCTGCATTTCACTCATTTTACTACATCTACGGTCTAGTGGACAATGAATAGAATCCGATTAGAGACTTCACGCTGGAAAAACCTTAAATATTTCAAWTGACAACTTAGATGCAACTGCTCTTAAAAGAACAATGAATAACATGTTACAATTTTAACTTGATTTAGTTCTAAGTAGSCAAATTTAAAAGCGCGTGGACGCTTTAAAAATATCGCAGGCGCGTACATGAAAACGAGGTGTTTCGGTCAAAAATATAACAAGCGAGTTTTCGGAATAHTGCACAAATACACTTCGACTAGGATATTTTTGAAGCATCGGCGATTCATAAGTCACTATTTTGAATTCATGCTTTCATTTTTGCGTTCGATTTATGCTGTAGTTACTGGTATTTTATGTTAATAATCTACATCAGAAAATACACGTGACGTCAATGTTATAAAAATTGTAGACAAAACAAATTGTAGACAAATCACTGCACGATATGTGTGAAACTAGAATTTATACCAGAATAATAGAAACGCTTGATTTATCATGAAAGCAAGCTTTGAATGATAGAATGACTTCAATAATATTAAAAAWGATGTCAATCACAGTTGTGTAGGAATTGACGTTTGTCATCGGCCATTTTCTCTTTTCAGTAATTGAATTTACAACATAAAAAAACTTATGCAAGAGTTATAAAAAAGATTACATGAACGTTGTTCAGTAACAAAATTTTTCAGCTCTTTTGACAAACAAGTGAGGTTGACACAGACAGTGGTCAAGGGAAACGGTCCTAACTAAGGAAGTTTTACCTTACAGTGGTTACTGCAAGCTTCAGTTACAGTTTGCGCTTCGTAAAGATAATTCATAAGATATAAATACCTTAAATAAAGAAGTTCCCAAGGAATATCTTTCCACAGTGATCGGTACTGAGCGTAACGATAGCACGGTTGGAGTTTGTTTTACATGGTCATTCGACAATCTCAAGTGTAAATGTTCAACAGGTGAATTACTGGTCGCTTCGGTGAATGAACAGCTACAATTCAATGAGCGAGCATTTGGATTAAACTATTAAATAAACTTACCTTGTATTCTTTCTAGGCTTGGAGAGAACGTCTAAACATGGGCGAATTTCGCTCTCCCATAATTGACTCATGATCTGATTTCACGTGATTTAAGCAATGTTGCAGTTTTTCCTGATTTGATCTGACGCTATTTTCTATAAATATGTAAACTACATCCTTCTTTACAGGTCCTTTTTGTATGAATTTTGTTTACTGAAGGTTTTTAATTCCTGGTCTGTGGTTATTTATCATAACAAAATCTTTATACGCTAGGTAGGAAAAAGGTCAAGGGACGGTTGCTTCGATTAAACCTTCCAAACTTGACGGGTTTTTTTACAATTAGTCTGAAAAATCCGCTTAGTTTATTATCTTAAATCAGGGACGTCCCTGCTTAAATGCACGTTAAAGTAAAACGTTTTAGGTCTCAAAATTTCATCTGTTTTATAGAACGTTTTACACACGACGACGATTCCGCACTGAAAAAGCGCATCGTTGGGATAGTCAAAACATCACTGTTTCTTTTATCTTCTTCATTTAGACTTTTGTTTTATATTGGATACTTTATTAGATAAGTAAGGTTCACCTGCTTCTATTTAGTGGTTCTCCTAGACGTTCATTTGGTAGCTGTCATTTATTGCAAGTTACATTGTACACATAACTTTGGCTGCCTTTCATACAACGCAGATAGCTACGTACAGTGTAGGTAGGTAGTTTAATGAGTCGCAGCCAATTCAACTAATGAAACCTGTTGAATTACGAATTACAACTAAAATTAAATAATATAAATGAACAAATAAAGTTCAAAAGGCAGAGAAAAAGTAAATTCCTTTTTAAAATCATGGCCAAGATCATAAAGTAATCCCTATCCGATGATCAGTGATCCATTTCAGATCAAACACCGAGACTTTGCGGTCCCCAGGTCTTTTGCCSCGAGCTTAGTGACATTGATAATGCAACTGAATGATATACAAAGTTTGACTTAAATTAGTCCGTATGAAAAGCATTGGAATTATAAAAAAATGATTACTTTTGAACAAAATGTAACTTATAATCAAATAGAGTATACTAAGAAAAGGCAAATTGAATAGAATTTTAATTGTTGATTTTGGGCGTATCGAAGAAAATCTGGTCAGCACCTCTGTGCCGTTGACGCCTTTTTAGTAGTTAGACATGTTTCGGTGCACTTGTTAACCAGATTCACGAACATTGCGGAGTCAGTGAAATGGGCTGGTCATCTTCTCCACGGTAGTTGGACGTGCAGTGTTGTCTATAGTTGAAAGCATGCTGGCCGTCTCCGCTCCTTGTATGTTCGTCGTTGGATGGATATTGGAATCATGTCAAATGATATCGTTTAAAGGTAAMATGAAATACTGTACAACACTAGCGAACTAAAGTCAACTGATTATAAAATTAATTTGTGGACATCCGGAAAGAAAACGATTTGACAAGGAGGAGCATAAAGTTATCATTTTAATTCAAAGAATTTTTATATTACAATACAATACGTTTATCTGTCATTCTATGTTCTATACTACACTTYCTCGGAATTTTATCAATGCTCTTTTATATACCCTAATCGTGTCCAGAAACATTGCATGTCTTATTGTACAATACAGTAAAGACTTATCAAGGTTGAACAAGGTCTCTTTTTTAAGTGTCAGTCAAAATACAGAATTCCTGTGTTTGATGCTTTTGATCAAACGTTCGATTTCTTGAAATCGAAATTTCTGTTTTAAAAGTTTTTCATTACTCTAATCTTGTCCAGAAACATTGTATGACTTGTAGCGCATTGTAGTAGTAAGAAGATCTCTTTTAAATGTCAGTCTATCTACACGACAGAATTCCGGTGTTTAGTGATGCTTTTGATCAAACGTTCGATTTATTAAAATCGATATTTATGTTTTAAAGCTTATTTTACTCTAGTCTTGTCCAGAAACATTGAATGACTTGTAGCGCATTATAATAGAAGTATTGAAGATCCTCTTCTAATTGTCAGTCTATCTACACGACAGATTCCTGTATTTGATGCTTTTGATCAAACGTTCGATTTATTCAAATTGATTCTGTTTAAAAGCAATTTGTTTACTCTTATCTTGTCAAGAAACATTGATGTCTTATGGCGCATTATAGTAGAAGTAATGACAAGATCTCTTTTAAGTGTCAGTCTATCTACACGACAGAATTCCTGTATTTGATGCTTTTGATCAAACGTTCGTTTTCTTGATAGGGCGTGGTATTTTGGACCTGTATCCTAGTCTTCTGTACAATGACAATGGTATGCGACCAAGTGTTCCTCTTCTAGCCACACCAGTACTCGGTCTGCAGGCATAATTCACTATTAGATACTTGCTGACATGAGGGCAGTTCTCGCCGCCATTTTGAAGTTCATCAGAGAGAGCCTTCACGACACAACCAGGATTATTGTTACAGTTTCCACGCAATTTCGCAATAGTTTCTGAAGCTCCTGGGCAGTTGTTGTGGCCATTTTCAGAGGGACAAATGTCCGGGCTTTCACGTCCCCAAAATGCTGAGTTAACTTTAATAAGCCAGTCAGATGGACAAGTTAGCAAAGAGTTTTCTGATTTACACAGAACTATTCTGTTTGCTTGAGGAACRCATGTGTAATTTACCAATAAATACTTRTTAACACCRTAGCAATGTTTTTCTTTTTGTAGTACGCTTGCTTTGCCTTCCAACAAACAACTTCCCATCCCTTCGCACATTTTCTTGACGATTTGTTCTGTCTCAGGGGCGGAGAAGCAGTTTGTAACTGGATCGCCGTCTTCAGAGGGGCATATATCAGGGGAGGTCCTTCCCCAGAACACACCAGTCACGGCAATCGACGAACCAGGAGTGCAACTTAGTGTCTTTTTCTGCCGAGAGCAAATTTGTGCTCGTTTATCTATTGAGAAAAGCATTCTTATTTGAATATATCAAAATTCTAGGAGTACAGAGTTTATTACATCTAAGGTCTAAGCTTTYWMTWTTKWGWKTKTGTKTTTKKGRKWKTKWTWTTKTKTTYWC